TAAATGAATTAGTTAATGTAAAATATTGAAAGTGAATGTCGGTTTGGCGTCCAGCTACATCCAGATGATATTCATATTTACCTTCTTTAATTTGCTGATGAGACCTGCTGATATTTCGTTTGGGAACAGTGTGAGGAGTCTACAGTTTAAACTAGATATTCTTAGCAGGTATTGTTCAGAATTGAAATTGTCAGTCAATATGCATAAAACTAAAATTGTAGTTTTTAAGAATGGAGGCGGTTTATCTCGGTTCAAAAAGTGGTTTTATAACGGTAGAGTTGTAAAAGTGGTTTCGGGATATTCTTATCCTGGATTGTATTTTAGTAACAGGTTACAGTTGTGGAAAGCGTTTGACAATAGTTCTATTCAAGCCAGAGATTGATGTCATTACTTCTTAGCAGTATACATTCTTTGAAACCACACTCGCCTCATCTGTACTTCAAATTATTCGATACAAAGATAACACCCATATTCCTCTACGGGGCTGAAATTTGGGGGCTTAATATTATGGACGAACTGGAAAAGGTACATTTATATGCTTGCAAACGTTTTTAAATTTTAAGTTATCAACGTTGAATAATTGAGTATAAGCCGACTGTGGTAGATATCCTATTCAATTATCTGCTGTTTCAAAATGTGTTAAATATTGATTAAATCTTATAAACATGCCTGAATGCCGTTTGCCTCGAAAATGTTACTAGAATATGATGCGAACGTATGATGTGCAACCGGTGCCAGCTTGAATATCTGGACACAGTGTTTTTGACAGATTAAAATGGGAGTGTCCTTAAAAAAACAGCCCCGTCTAATATAAGTCAAGCAATCCACATCTTTGAATGTTGATTATGACGGGAAGTCATCCAATACTATACTGAACATATTTTATATGATATTATCTGAGGGCATACCATAATCCAAGAGATACAAAATGACAGATCGTTTTTATTTTCTGCAATTTTGTCAGAAATATTATACCCCAATGTGTTGTGATGACTAATATCTCATTAACCACATTACCCACATATGTGAAATTTTGGAAATAGCTTTGCTGTTAGTTCCTTCAAAATAAAATGGAAGCTTTTCAAACTTTGGACATCGAGAATATAACTATCCTGACTTTTGTAACGCCCCTCGTATTTTAAGTTCAATTACCGATTTCTTGTGAAACATACTCATGATACTGTATCCAAATTAAGGTTTTGTTTATCACGATTTAGTTCCCATAATTTCCATGGAAACGAACATTACTTTTGTTTTAGGAAACGATGATATACCTACTCAACCTCACTGCTTGCTTGATAAATGTCAAAGGTTCTTTCATCCATATTAAAATCCATCGCCAGCCTTTTTTTATTGGCTGATAAAAGGTTCGAAAATGTGAGTCAAAATGCATGATAGTATTTATTGGTGTACGTTACATATACCCGTTAGACCCCTACCCCTCTACATGTATTTGAGAATGTTGTATATATCCGCTAGACCCCCCAATCCTCTATAATGCATTTAAGTATGTTAGATATACTCTTTAGAACCCCTCTTTCAGCATGTCCCTACTCTACTGGTAGTTAAGTTTGTTTGTTTGAACATGTTTTATTCAGTATAGAAAGGGATTTCGCACAAGTTATTAAAATTCTGCTCCCGACAATTATTTAGTATATGGAAAACTTCATGTGATGGACAATGAACAGAGACAAGACATGTTACACATTAATTGAAGCCCTTACTAAGTACAATGAATTTATGGATTTGACTAAAAATATTTTCAATTATAGTTTGTGGCAGATTAAGGCTACGCTAATATCTACGCTAACTTTTAGTATTTCAAATCCTTCTATCAAATCAAACCGGCAGCTGACACATTTTAGAAAGAAGTGATTGTCATCTTTCACAAGAGTACAAAGTTAAGCTTTACTTTGAGATAAATTGACACGAAAAAGATCAGCATTTGAAGAACTACATGAGTGTGTAGACTATTAATCTTCCTTTCACCAAATAGGAAATATTTAGGAATTGTATCAATGTTTTTCAGATAATTTAAATTTAAATGATAGAAATGAATTGGTAAATTTTATTGTGGAGGAGAGATTATTCCATACACAAACACAATCATAGATAAATGACTTTGAAGAACTGTGAATCGAAACTTTGGAATAGCCAAATTGTATTGAGAAATAGTTTAAGTAGATGGTGGAAGTAAGTCTTTAAGATAATCAGGAGCTAGCATGTTATCAATTTTCTAAAGTTTCTGTCAAAAGCTTTTGAAATGTCCATACAAAATACCATACAGTAAAGGTGGCGATTATCTAGGGTTGAGCAAATATTATGATAAATTTCTGAGTTGAGAGTTGGTAGAATGACTAGCAGTAAAACCTGACTGGGATTTACTTAAAATGCTGTGTTCATGGAAATGGTTATGCAAATGCTTTACCATTATTCTTTCAAGAATTTTCCCATGGATATATAATAAACTAATAGGTCTGTATTTAGTTTGGAGGAAATTATCACCTTTTTTAAATATAGGAACAGCATTTCCTGTTTTCCACATTGGAGGAAGTACACAGTCACTCAGTGATATATTGTACAACAAAGATACCGGTTCAGTTAACACTCTCACGTTAATACCATCAGGATCACTAGATGTGTTTGCTGGTAAGGTCTTAATCGTATCGGATACCTTCATTTCGGTTACAATGACATACTGTTAACGCAGCGATTGCTAACAGGTGACAAAGTATTGCCGCCTTCATTAACATTTGAAACAGATACAAAATATTCATTTAATGTTTGAGCTTTATCCAAATCTGTAAAAACTAAACGTATCCCAGAATCATCAGTTACAAAAGGGGAAATGGGTCCCGATCACGTAGTACCTTTCAACAAAAATTAAAGATCTTCCAATATCCATCTGATTGAGTAGACTGAGATCATACAACGTTATCTAAATTAGAATAAAAGTTTCCCTGGGCTGTTCTTTTCAGATTATTTACTTTATTTATTTGCTTTTTTTTGTATTTAAATAGGTCAGAAGTATTAAGAGATCGAAATACCTTTTTCCTTAGACATACTCTTTTTAAAATATATGTTAGATATAACCGTTAGAAACCTCCTCTCCATCCCCCCACCCACACACCCCCACATACACATGTATATAAGTATGTTAGATATACCCGTTACAATCAATTCTTTCTTGAATTATCGCGATAACAAGCTTATATGATGTACGAAATGCAACGAAAAACGAACACACGCGTATTTACGAATGATTAAAACTGTTATTACAATTTACGAAATTGTTTATCACATTTTACCGCAACTAAAATATTTACAATCATTTTTTTTAATTACAATTTGCGTATTACAATTTACATCAATATTTATAACAGTTTACGTTTTATTAAATTTAGTTTAAGGATTATTACAATTTACTGCAAGTATTGCAATTTACCTTTTATTACAATTTACGTCGTAACAAACCGTAATACTGTCCATAAATGGTCTGATAGGAGATGGTCTACCAGTAGGTTCTTTGAAATCCCAGAAAACCCATTGGTTTGCCAGCTGATGAAACAGTCTTTGCCTGCTTCTTCAAGGGAGACAATAAATGTTTCCCCATGTCTTTTGTTAAGTCTCTTGCTAGTGAACCCAAGACCCATGCAGTTACAAATTTTGTAAGAAATTCACTTGTTTTTCAAAACGACGTACATAATCTCACGAAGGATAAACGTGACACGGTTCTATTAACACGTCAGGAGGCTTAGTGTAGACCGTTACCTCTGTATTGCCAGCTCTTAACTGACCCATGAAGATCCGGGTTAGAATTGATCTTCAGTAACCTGTGCTTATCGTAAAGGGCGACTAACGGGATCGGGTGGTCAGGTTCGCTGACTTGGTTGACACATGTCATTGTATCCCAATTGCTTAGATCGATGCTCATGCTGTTGACCACAGGGTTGTTCTGGTCCAGACTCGTTGTTTACAGACCGCTGCTATATAGCTGAAATATTGCATAAAACGTGACGTACCATTTTGCTCAAATACCAATACTGAACACACATAAAAGATAGCATCAGGGTTTAATTCAACAGCATTGATATCATTTATGGAAGTCTCTTTTACTGAATAGACGAAATACACAAAAGGAAGAACATGGAATAGTAATAACATTTGTAACAATCTACATATAGATAGTTAAATGGCGGTGTGGTAACGTAGTGACTAAAGCGTTTAACGCCGAAGATCGGGGTTCGATTCCACACATGGGTACAATGAAGGCCATTTCTGGAGTCCTCCGTCGTGATATTGCTGGAATAGTGCTAAAAGCGACATAAAAATAAACTGTACATAAAAATAATTGACAGTACAATATACTGTATATTACAGATACTAGATCTGCTTTTGAATGAGGCTTGTGCTATACCAAAAGAAATGGTAGTTAATTCATGTAAGCTAAATCTAATTAATATGTTTGTATTTCCACAGGTTTCGAGATGTGTAAGATAATGTTCCTTCTGTAATGTAGAATATTATGAAGGAAGGGAATCTCTGTTAATAATCATATAGTCTTTTGCACTCATTAAAATATTAGAGCATTTATTTCAATTCTGAAAACTGCGTATATGGTTTCATTAGTTTCTTCGTATTGTTCAACAGAAGGTAACTCGACTTTCCCTTGTCTTTGAAGAACAATAAATGTAAAAGGTAAAGGGAAAATGGAATTTGATTGTACCTTTGTAAACCAAAAAACTCTCTCTTCAAATACAGTTGCACAAGCATGCAAATGGTAAAGTAAATTGTGTTCCAGAGAGTTTTTGGAATTGTATCACTAATACCTGAGTACAGCTTCATCTGACATAAATATATACTGGAGGAAACAAATAAGGGAACAAATAAGGTGTTCCTATATGTATTCTAAGGTTTCCTCCCACAGCGCTATTCACTGGAAAATATTAAAGGAGCACTTGAATTTTCATGTGTTCCTTTATTTGCTTACATAAGAAAAAAATGCAATGTCACATGACAATCACGTTGTACAAATTAGGTCACATGACTAGAATAAATGCATCGAATGTACGTAGAAAGTAATATTTACCATCAGCCTTATGTCCAAATTTTGTAAACGACGTGATGACGCAGCTATTTTGTTTTGACGATGCAACGAAACCCATCAACAATCTTTGCATTCCAAGCGATTTATAAACGTTAACTAGAATGATATTTACACTGCAGTCGCAAAAAGCGTAACTGATCTCCCCACCTTCATGAACACACACCCACACACGTCCGCATGTACACACGCACGCACACGCACACACTTGCACTTTTGTTTTTACTTTCATTTGCTTTGGGTCCAATTTTACAGTAGGTGAGACGTGAGATTACATTACCGGCCCAAATATGCCCCTCCATCGTTGTGTTGGAAATTTGTTTTCCTGTTTTCTCTTTTGGTTTTTTACAAGCGCCTGAAACCAAACCAAACAAGTTAAACGATTTGCATGTACAAAACACTGACAATATATAGACACATATATGTACATGTATGCTGCGTAACTATGTTGCACATTTTGTCAACAAATCAATGACAGTGGGTGAAAGTTCTTATTTTGTTAAACATTGTAGACCAAATATTCAAATATATGTATCAAAGTAAAAAAATATATTTATGTTCTTTTAAATGTTTTACGTTTCGCATATATATATATATATATATATAAAACACTGATATACGGTCCCATTGTTGGCAGTTCATCAGAAAGTCAAAACAATATAATTCTCTGTGGCTATTGAATCAGAGAGCACATATGCATTGCAACAACATTTTTTAAAAAAAGGAAAAACACCATGTTAATATTTTCATTGTATCATTTCATTTGAGGTCGCGAAACACGGTATTTTCAGACAATCAGTGTAAAATAGGGAAATATCCTGGCCGTTTAAATCAGAAAGTTGTGTATACATATGCGTTATGTGTATATGTTACAGTCAATGTCTACAATTAGGCAATGTGTACAATGACTGAAATCTTGTCTTCTCAATAATCCCTGTTCAACAATCAGTCAATCTGTACAATAATTGGGTTAATTAATCAGGCAATGTACACAATGCCTGGAAATTTTAGACAATGTACACAATGACTGAGTGAATCAGGCAATGCACACATTGACTGGTTATTTCAGTCATTGTACACATTGCCTGATTGTAGACATTGACTGTAACATACATACCATTGAAAACCAGATCGTGGTTCTATTCTCACCATATCATGGTACACACAACCGCTCCAATTAGGACAAGTACGATGAACACAACCGTCAACACAATGACCAGAACAGAAGGTGTCCTGTCAAAAGACGCTGAAAGGATAAACGGACACAATGGGACAATGGCTTTACAAACACCCGTTTGCTGTTGCTGTGTGAGCACTCGAGCACTTTACAAAAACAAATGATTCAATCTGGGAAATAACACTTAAACAATATGATTGACAAGTTCTATGTCCCGAGAAAAACGAGATCAATTTGTTCGTTTCTATTACCAGAGTTTAAAATTACCATGGCGTTTGTGTTACAAGGCTGGACGAACTGTTGTTATACTTAATAAAGAACGAGATGCACATCTTACCTGCTGTCGTGTCAACATTCTGCTGGACTGGTGTAGTGGACTGCTTATCATTTCGTGGGACTGTATACAAAGGGAAAATAAAACCCGTCCAGGTGAATTGTCTATTAGTAAAATGGAAATATTTTAGAGTTGGTTATACGAAGGGCAATCATCATCCCCAGCAGCAGCGTCCTCGTCAGTAGCATTACCATCAACCGTCAACACAATGACCAGAACAGAAGGTGTCCCGTCAAAAGACGCTGAAAGGATACACGGACACAATGGGACAATGGCTTTACAAACACCCGTTTGCTGTTGCTGTGTGGGGGGCGGTGGGGTAGCCTTGTGGTTAAAGCGTTCGCTCGTCACGCCGAAGACCCGGGTTCGATTCCCCACATGGGTACAATGTGTGAAGCCCATTTCTGGTGTCCCCCGCCGTGATATGGCTGGAATATTGCTAAAAAGCGGCGTAAAACCATACTCACTCACTGTTGCTGTGTGAGCACTCGAGCACTTTACAAAAACAAATGATTCAATCTGGTAAATAACACTTAAACAATATGATTGACAAGTTCTATGTCCCGAGGAAAACGAGATCAATTTGTTCGTTTCTATTACCAGAGTTTCAAAATTACCATGGCGTTTGTGTTACAAGGCTGGACGAACTGTTGTTATACTTAATAAAGAACGAGATGCACATCTTACCTGCTGTCGTGTCAACATTCTGCTGGACTGGTGTAGTGGACTGCTTAGCATTTCGTGGGACTGTATACAAAGGGAAAATAAAACACGTCCGGGTGAATTGTCTATAGGTAAAATGGAAATATTTTAGAATTGGCTATACGAAGGGCAATTATCATCACCAGCAGCAGCGTCCTCGTCCTCGAGATCAATTTGTTCGTTTCTATTACCAGAGTTTCAAATTACCATGGCGTTTGTGTTACAAGGCTGGACGAACTATTGTTATACTTAATAAAGAACGAGATGCACATCTTACCTGCTGTCGTGTCAACATCCTGCTGGACTGGTGTAGTGGACTGCTTATCATTTCGTGGGACTGTATACAAAGGGAAAATAAAACACGTCAGGGTGAATTGTCTATTAGTAAAATGGAAATATTTTAGAATTGGTTATACGAAGGGCAATCATCATCACCAGCAGCAGCGTCCTCGTCAGTAGCATTACCATCAAATACTAACACTACACGACAATATTTTGAACAATAGTTACAAACTTGAATATATATTTTCTGTCCGTTATGAAAGAGCATCATCACCACCACCATCATCTTGTACATATTTAGGCTACACGAGGTTATGTTGAACAATAGTTACAAACCTATTCCTAACAAGTAAAAGTTAACCTTCTTACGGAAAGAAATATGAATAGTACATGTTTAAAACAGTAAACATTATCATGACCGTACTGACACATGCGTTTATGATTCATTATTGTAGCATGTACAATTAATGGGACAAATCTGCGGCGACATGTACCTTTATTGTAACAAATCTGTGGTAACATTTACATTTAATGAGACAAATCAGAGGTAACATTTACATTTAATGTGACAAATTTGTGACAAAATGTTCATTTAATGAGACAAATCTCTGGTAAATTGTACATTTAATGTTACAAATTGCTGTTTTCTGTTGTTTGTTGCAATCTTCCAGCTATATGATGGCGGGCCGATAATAAGGAACAAGAAGCTATCACTCATGTGGACCAACCATTATCCTGACAAGGAACAAGAAGCTATCACTCATGTGGACCAACCTTTAGACTCACAAGAAACAAGAAACTATCACTCATGTGGACCAACCTTTATCCTTGCAAGGAACAAGAAGCTATCACTCATGTGGACCAACCTTTATCCTTACAAGGAACAAGAAGATATCACTCATGTGGACCAACTTTTATCCTTACAAGGAACAAGGAGCTATCATTCATGTGGACCAACCTTTATCCTTACAAGGAACAAGATACTATCACTCATGTGGACCAACCTTTATCCTTACAAGGAACAAGGACCTATCACTCATGTGGACCAACCTTTATCCTGACAAGGAACAAGAAGCTATCATTCATGTGGACCAACCTTTATCCTTACAAGGAACAAGGACCTATCATTCATGTGGACCAACCTTTATCCTTACAAGGAACAATAAGCTATCACTCATGTGGACCAACCTTTATCCTTACAAGGAACAAGAAGCTATCACTCATGTGGACCAACCTTTATCCTTACAAGGAACAAGAAGCTATCACTCATGTGGACCAACCTTTATCCTTACAAGGAACAAGAAGCTATCACTCATGTGGACCAACCTTTATCCTTACAATGAACAAGAAACTATCACTCATGTGGACCAACCTTTACCCTTACAGGGAACAAGTAGCTATCACTCATGTGGACCAACCTTTATCCTTACAAGGAACAAGAAGCTATCATTCATGTGGACCAACCATTATCCTTACAAGGAACAAGAAGCTATCACTCATGTGGACCAACCTTTATCCTTACAAGGAACAAGAAGCTATTAGTCATGTGTTCCAACCTTTATCCTTACAAGGAACAAGAAGCTATCATTCATGTGGACCAACCTTTATCCTTACAAGGAACAAGAAGCTATCACTCATGTGGACCAACCTTCATCATTACAAGGAACAAGAAGCTATTAGTCATGTGTTCCAACCTTTATCCTTACAAGGAACAAGAAGCTATCATTCATGTGGACCAACCTTTATCCTTACAAGGAACAAGAAGCTATCACTCATGTGGACCAACCTTTATCCTTACAAGGAACAAGAAGCTATCACCCATGTGGACCAACCTTTATCCTTACAAGGAACAAAGAGCTATCACTCATGTGGACCAACCTTTATCCTTACAAGGAACAAGAAGCTATCACTCATGTGGACCAACCTTTATCCTTACAAGGAACAAGAAGCTATTACTCATGTGGACCAACCTTTATCCTGACAAGGAACAAGGAGCTATCATTCATGTGGACCAACCTTTATCCTTACAAGGAACAAAGAGCTATCACTCATGTGGACCAACCTTTATCCTTACAAGGAACAAGAAGCTATCACTCATGTGGACCAACCTTTATCCTTACAAGGAACAAGAAGCTATTACTCATGTGGACCAACCTTTATCCTGACAAGGAACAAGGAGCTATCATTCATGTGGACCAACCTTTATCCTTACAAGGAACAAGAAGCTATCACTCATGTGGACCAACCTTTGACTGAGCTTGTTATTGCAGTTGGATTTTTGGAAGTGATAATTCGACAAACGGATAGGAGATATAATATGATACGATATATCAGCGGGAAGTAGTACTCCAGCTTGATATGTGTGGTAAACTTAAAACAATAAAGTGTGATATTTGGTCATTTGTATCATCAGTGTTTTTATCATATCACAGACACTGTCAGTATCGGATGGGGCGTGACCACCATTTGGGTTGATACAGGCCTTGTGCGTATTGTGGATACAAAACAACAGAAAGCAACCTACAGTCGTTTCAAGTGTCATCCAAAAACTTGCAGCGCAGACCTAGCGTTACTGCCCAGTTCTGGGCCCCGTTTTAAAAAGCTCTCGTAGCGCTACGACTATTGTAAGTCAATGTTACTGCATAGGAGGTACGATTGCTACGAGAAAATTTACGAGATCTTAGGCTTACGAGAGCTTTGTGAAACGGGGCCCTGGTTTGCTGGTCCTGTCGTTGTCGTCGGCTATCTCATCCAAGATTATGTTCTGTTGGGAGGTGGTTGGGAGAAAGAGCCGGTCATGGCAGTACAGTGATGATGTGCTCCCTAAGAAAGCATGTTGCAACACGTGAAACATGTATGTGGACATTATCTTGGTGGAACGAGGCGTTACGTTCCTGAATTTGTACATAGGGTAGAGCATGATCTAAAAAATCTCATCCCTGTAGCCTAGCCTATGCCATTCAAACCGCCACTACAACATTCCCAGGTTATTTACGGTTAAAAATTGGAATTTATAAACACGTGACACATAAACAACCACTGCGAGGTGATGACATGCGAAAAAGCACGTGAGTGAATATCGTGCTCCCAACAAACACGGACACATCCAAATTATGCGTCGTGAATTTTTAAATGCACAATCGGTCATCCAAATGGTGCATGTTTACAACGGGAATACAGCAACTGTGCATTATTTGATGTTATGCTACTTTTAATGCAAAAAGATAATAACATGAGTTGTGGTGTTTTCCTTAATCAATGTTTCACACTGGGCAGCGTGACACGCCCTTGAAGAGATGTGATGTCAAAATTCAGTTCACAAATTCAGTATCGTGTGTTTCAACCATTGCCGTTGATGCAGGCTTGACAAGGACGACGGGTAGACGACACTAAGCGATTGAAGAAACCCTGGGGGAATATTGTCCTATGTAAGAACCAACGCTTGTCCCAATTTAGTTAACGTCAATGACTGATTCGGGTTTGACGTAAACGTCGCTCCATTTCATCCCAAGCTTGCTCGATAGGGGACAGGTCCGGAGAAACAGCTGGCCATAATCTTTCTGAGGCGTGAAGTTACGTCTCTGTCCCAGAATGAACGGCTGCACATGAGGCCCAATGATCTCATTCCTTTATCGCAGACCTGTCAGATTGCCATTGATAATGAGAAGTTGATGCCTCCCCATACAATAACGCCTTCGCCACTATACTGTCGCATGCTTCAGCATACCGTTCACCTCGCCCACTGCACACCCTTGCTCTGCCATCTGAGATGACCCAGGTAAAACATCGACTCGTCAGTGAACAAAACACGATCCCAATCTTGTCTCCTGTACCGAAGATGTTGTCTGCACCAGGCAAGACGTGCCTGTCGATGACGTTGGAGCAAAATTGGACGTACTGCAGGCTTGTGCTTAGCTACATGTGTATTTATTGTTATGTTCATACTTTTCAAATAACTCTTATTTTATGCAATTTAATGCTATGCAAAGTTACTTTTTTTCAATTAGTATATGTTTTGACAGAGCCATCATTGAAATTTAGGCGTATTCAAAATGGAAACAGAAAAGTCATAGGCACTCACCTATCACCATCAAAGTGACGTTGTGGGAGTCAAACGTGACTTCGTTCTTTCCAGTACATCGATATGTTCCTACGTCCTCTTCAGACACGTTCTTGATAGTTACGGTGGTATAAGATAGCTGTACACGAGTAGTGTTAGTCACTTGCTTGTCGTCACGGTACCAGGTGACTACTGGAACGGGTCTGTCAAACAATCACTGGACATATACTAACCTCAATTTGAGGGGTTATTGAACAAAAACTTGAAGGTGTACATCATTTAGTGCTGATCAGGTAGTTATATTCCATTGATTTATCCACCAGGGTCCCCGTTTCACAAAGCTCTCGTAAGCCTAAGATCTCGTAACTTTCCTCGTAGCATTCGTACCTCCTATGTACCTCCTGGAGGAGCGGTGGGGTAGCCTAATGGTTGAAGCCTACGCTCGCCACGCTGAAGACGCGGGTTCGACTCCCTTCATAGATACAATGTGTGAAGCCCATTTCTGGTGTCCCTCGCCGTGATATTTCTGGATTATTGCTGAAATCGGCCTTAAACCATACATACTCGCTTCTGAACTAGAGATTAGAAAGACCACCTGAACCACCGTATCTGTCATATAAACTCTGTCAAAAAAGAAACGCAACCCCTGTCCTCAGATATGAAAAATTCGTTTGAATGAAGTTATTGCTTCCAAACTAAATTTTATTCGAATGTATTGAAATGATACACGTAATTAATAAAGATTACCATCCAAACAACTGCATTTGTACGCATAAGTGTATTTTATTGCTTATTCCGTCACAACGCATGAAATGACCCTCATGGTGACTTCGCACAAAAAAAACACATGCAAATCATGAAAATGGCAGTTAATGTAGGAGTGTATAAAAGCCCATGTGCTTCCGTATTATATTCATTCATTTGTCGCCGAAAGCTGTGTTAAAAATGCCACGATTGAGTGCTGCTGACCGAAATATCGCCATTGGTCGTGTTCA